GTATTTAATTACGAAAAAATTATTCGCGACCAATAGTCAATTACCTATCAATTATTATTAATGAAAATTTTCAACGAGATAATTGCTAGAGACGCTTTGAGTAATTCTTGCTCGGAGATAATCGAGAGAATAATACAGTAAATGAAATCGCACTCTGTTTTAATGGCCTAAAATAGTCGTTGGTCGTTCATATGCCAAACACGATATTCTACTTAACGCCATCAAAGCAGGGAGCCCCGTTCACGAGGTTTCATTCCTGAAGAAGCACCCATAACCTATCCTCTCTGTCCCCGTGCTCTTTTTCAGAGAACCATCTCCCACGGGATAAGACAGGAGAGCTGGCCACCCTTCTTCCTAAATTCTTCCTTCCGTACCGTCTCGACGGCAAATTGATAGATCGCCCTATGACCCGCCGTGATCTCGCGCGAGTGCTTGTGAGAGATACGTCAGGAGATTTGATGGATTTGACCGCGATTTTATCATATGAAAGGGACACAGACTATGTAATAAAAGATAAAATGAGTGATATTTATACATGCGCTCGCATGTACGCGTGTCATATCATTCAGATTCGTCTCGTGGAATTTCCGTGCTTTGGAAATTTTTATGCAAGTACTTTTTGAAGACTCGAGATGTATTATAAAAGACTGCCGTGTAACATGACAATTTTACGAATATATATGCAAGATTAAAATTGGAGGAGTTTTTGAAATAAGAGTATAAGTGAGATTTTATTTCTCAACTAACTTTTATATATAAATGATTGATATATATATATATATATATATATATATATATATATATATAATGGAACTTTATTCACAACTTTATTAATAAAAGTTAAGAAGTAAGAAAATACAAAGTTGTATTCTGCACATTCATTTTTCATTTCCATCAAAATAAAAATATAAAAATATAAATATAATAAATAAGTTTGTCAAAATTTTTAATAAAATATTTATTTGTCAAGAGAAGAAATATACATCATAATATTACTTTTTTCCAAATACCTGCGGGTATACATATAATAAAGTTATTCTATATTATATAAATAAATATAGGGTATTTAATTATAATTAACAGAGTCAAACATGTTTCAAATTAAATGCTTTCTTTTTACTTTATTACTTTATAATTTCATATTTTATATTTCATGCTATAAAATGTCAGTAATATCATGATGTTATAAAACATTAGTAATATTATGATATGTATTTAAAATTAAAAATAAGTTAGAAAGCTATTAACTTTTCATGATTCAATATCAATCATATATGTAGAATTTAAAAAAATTAATATTCATAGAAAAATCGTATAATCCTAGTTATAAAAAGAAAATCGTATAATCCTAGTTATAAAAAGAAGACATCATCTTGGCACACTTTCGAATTCAAAAATTAAAATACAAAAATATAACAAAAAGATTTAATTAAATTTCCAAGATACTTGACTTTATTGATAACAACTGGATTCTGTACGATTATTTTATGGATGCCGTCAGATTCGCGAAACCATATCGTGGGATGTGGTATAATTACACGTTTGCTTGCACCGCTAACTTTTGGCCGTCTCGAACTTTTCGCCGAAGATCCTGGGCGTCGTGAAACGGAACTTACGGAACGATCGCAGAGTCGTCTGGGTAGTATCCACGTAATCTCGACAACGTAATGCAATGGCCTGCCCAGGTCTGCCATAGTCGCGCGGTGCAACCTAATTATGTCCATTTGTTGTCCCACTCGAAACCCTTGGGCGATATCGCGAGGAACTTAATCCACCCGAGTTAGTTGCTTGCGCGTGTCCGTTCCTCGTGGGATCGGCTAAGATTTATCTTCTTGAAATATTTTCTGCCCCTGGCTTTCCGACACGCGGTAGAGTTTCGTGTTTCAGAACCTCCTTCACGAGGAGGAAGGAAGAGCGAGACCGTGCACACTCCCCCCCTTCCTCCCGCTTCTTCAGCCATATTCGAAGTCATTCCCGTTTTACGTGTGCGGCATTCCCACGGGATAGCTGCGACTGATAAACTGGCGTACAAATATCCCCGACTTTGCATCCCGGTTATTTTGCGACGCGGTGAATAGATAATAAAGATTCGCGATTTTCCGGTTTGTTTTCTCGCTCGGTTATTTGCGAGCGGGCGATTTAATTGACCGGAATCGAAAGCTAACTGCTCGCTGACGTTTGCAGTAAAGAGTTTTCCTGTTAGTAATTTGTTTTATTTTTACGATGGGTCGGGTGCGAATTTTGATGTCGCCGAGTGAACTAATTGTGAGCTCGCTTCGAAATTTTACATTAATGCAATGGAATTATCATCTGCTTGACACTTTTACGTTAGTTCAATATGAAAATTCGATAGTGTCACTCTTATTTTCAGTATAACTTGATTACGTGAGCGATAAACAATTTTATTATCTTCTAGAAAGTTGGGAAGGATTTTTCGAAATATATATATATATATAGAATAATGAAATATAAAATTTCTTTTTTCAAGAAAGAAAGTATGCACGCGCAACAGGATTTACGCGTTTCACGCGTAACGTAATACCACCAGGCAGCAATATTATGCGATGAGTTTCGGCACATCTTAAAGTGCAAGTGGTAATGCGTTTACTTAGTCAGACACGATTCTCCACTTTAGCCGGGATTAACGCCTGATAATAAAATGGAGTACAGTGGGATTAATTCGATTTCGCGGATGCTTCGCTTAATACACGGCCGACTGTCATTATCAGTTTCTCTGCCGAGTGTTAGTCTTCCGTTCGTAAGACCCGGGGCACGGAGTAGAAAGTTACTTAATCTTCTTACTACGCTTACTCTCGACTCCCCGCTCGATGCCACCTTAAACTTCAACTACTAGCATTTCAATGTATACGTATATTCACGAAACGCTAAGCTCTCGCTAAACCGTATCACAAGCGTTCGCGTCTCGCTTCGACGCCTAGTTCGTGGAAATACAGTTTGTACAACCCATTACGATTTTTGAAGTTTCCAATTTTATTGTTAATCTATTTTGCAACCTTTACAGATAATATACATCTGTGTATGTGAATAAATAGCATAGGTATATCTGAAATAACCGCTCTTTTTTTGTATACATTTCACCTTTGCGTTGGTCCTCGAAGCCTTCTAATTTTTATTGATTTTATCTAACGGACCTTTATTTCATTATAATAATAGGTATATCTATTTAAAAAACAAGTCTTGTGATTCTAGACAAATATTTTTACTTTTAACAATTTTCAGAATATCATTAAAATAATAATATTTTATTCTTATATTTTTCTGCGCTTCTTATATTAAGGGAAATCTAAAATATTTAATATATTTCTCCTTCTTCTTCTATAATAGAAATGTAAGAATATAAATACATACAACAATCGCAAGCAAGTTACTAAACGTTATGTCCTTTGACTATCAAAGAACCAAAGCACAAAAGCAGTAGGACTCGATACAGAGTCAGACAATCTTTCCCATTTGCTTTTGTAGTTAGAACTTTGACTTCGACATGCAATCTGCTATGGAAGGATGTCTGAAATACGTATAAAACAATAAAAATATTTCTCGACTAAACGTGATACGTATTAGTGAAAATTTACAAATATAAAGAAAAATAATTGCTGAGAAGAAGTGCTAATTACAACTGTAAACTGAAACGCGAGCGTTTAACTCGAAAAGAAAAATGTTAAGAGCGAATAACACGATTTACGAGGAGTCAGAAAACTTTTCGGTTTTCAACACTATTAATTTCTACCAAGTCACGTGCGCTGTTCCCACTTGCTCACAACACACTCCGCGATATAGAGATTTATAGAACATCCTTTCCACTTGCCTCTTTTGCTTCTTTCTTTTTCCATTTGCTTTCTTGTACTACATTTTATGCGCTTTTCCTCTACCGAGATTGTGCAGCACTCCGGATCTGAATATCTCGCTTCTTTAAAGGAATCTTATCTCGACGCACACGCGACACATGGTTTGCACGACGTCGAATATGACGTATGTCTATGCACGTCTGATAGAGCTTGTTCGCGAGCGTGATATCGAATTGCGTAGTCATACGTGAAGGCAGACGGATGACGCATCCGATCGCCGAGAAAATTCAGATCCCTGTGTATTTATTCGACGTAGGAGATTTTTCGGGAGAGAGGAGAAGGAAGATGGGGAGACGCGGCTGTACGTGCGAGTGCTCGGGAGGAATTTTCAGATCATGATCCGCACTGAGAAAGAGGCTGCGTGGAGAATGGAGAGAGAGGATGGATATAACTGGCATCGACGGGAATCCGTATTATAAATCCGTTCCTAGAATTCTTGTGGTTATTCCTTGGTAGACATCGTCGAGATATGATTCCACGTGTAGAAAATATATGCCGACAATAATCGTCGCATTAGCTCTCATTCCTCACCTGTCACGCGTCTTGACATTTGCTTGCGACTGACATTTCCCTTCTTCTTCCCTTTTTTCTTAATTTTTCAATTAATATTTCTCAAAATTATATAATTATAATATATAATTATTATAATTTTATTAATTATAAATTATATAATTATAATAATATATAATATATAAATACATATAATAATAATAATAATAATAATAATAATAATAATAATAAAATGAACATTGCGTTTTCCTCAGGGGCAAAAATGTATGTAAGGAAAAAAAGGTTTGCGAAAATAAAAAAGATATGAAAGATCGCATTAGGATTGTATCGAAAGTACAACAATGATTTTGAAGTGCGGGATTCGCGTGCTGCCGAACGGCGAAATTATCCCGTTTCTGAAGTTTTCATACGAGAAACGTACAACTACGATACTTCATGCAAAGAAGACGCGACTGTGGTCAATGTCCTCAACTTATAACGAGAAGGGCGACTGCACGTGCCGTAGTCTGCGATCGGTCGATTCATCGGTGGGTTGGCGAAGGGAAACTTTGCCGGCGACGGCACGGTACAGCTTTTTCATAATTGATCGCCCAATCGATACACTCGTCGCTATTCTGCTTTCAGGACTCGAGGCCGAGTTGTACTACGTCCGGGAGGGGGTGGTCAACACGTACGCGATGAATTTCGTCGTTCCTGTGCCGGCCAACATAGCGGACCTAGAATTTTCATGGCAGAGCCTCGTAGGACACCCGGTATGTATATCCACGAGAGGAACCATCTCTAAGCGAGACTCTCGAAAACGTTCGAGAGCTTACAAATAATGATTTCAACATCGGTTAAATATTTATTTATTTCGTTCCTTACTTGATATTTTTCCTCGGGATAAAAAAGCGCTCGTTCCTTTAATTTACGTGCGCGACATTGTATGATACTATTACGCGTACAAGAAGAACCTAACCACTCCTTTCCGGATACGATACTTTTCCAAGACCTCTCTTACGTCTTGGGTTACAAAAGAAATCACGATACTCGGATGCATATCCGCGTCGCCGAGGGAAACGCTGAAACGGAATCTCCCCCGTGTACTCGGAGAGCAAAACGTTTCCGCCGGCCATTAACGAGACGCAACAATGCGGAACAAAGTAAACACGTGACCCGGCCAGAACGGTAACACACGGGATATCCTCGTTTATGTTTTGCCGCGGGACGGGTGGCCCGTCACGGTGGTTTACCGGGGTTGCTCGTGGAGGGTTAAGAGGGGCTCGTCGGGGCGAGGTACACGACGGTACAGGGCTGTATCAATACTCTATCAATATGAAATACAAATAGATGGCGTGGGCGTGAAAGAGACGGAGCGAGCGAGTGTGGTTCGGTTTTGCGCTCCCTTCGGTCACCAAGGAAACCGAACGCGCCCTCGAAAACCCCTCGCGACGAGATGTAGGACGCGGAAAAACGTGAAAAGTCGCCGCGCTCTCCCTCGATTGGGATGTTAAACGACAAGAGGAAACCTCCATTCCGCAACTACCGTTGCGTATCTAATTGATCGTAATTGCTTTAATAATCCTTGTCGATTGATTTGGATTTATTATCGTATTTATTGATTATTTTGTTTACAAATATTGAGTAGAGATGTAAAGTATCATTGCCGTGCAATAATCGTTTTTTAAAATATGGAGACTTTTTAACATTTCTGGAAATTTGTGTCGAGGAACAGACGAGGTAGTACATTAACATCTATTTTTCATAAGTCTGCTCGAGACCATGTTCTCAAGCATTTTGAATATTTTCTTAGGCAAATAGTAATGCAACAAACGGTGGATACATTTCAAGTGTGCAGAATATTGAAAATAGTCACTTAAATATTGTTTCGTTTAAAATATTATTTAAAATTTTTTTTCGTAGAAATGACAGACACGGGAATATAAATAGAGAAAATATTAAAGTTAAAATTAGAATTTTCAAAAATAATAAAAGAATAATTAAAAATTTTTACTTGATATAAAGTTTTTGAAAGCGCATTGTGATTATTTCATCTTTTTCGTATTATTTCAAATATTATATTAAATGTAAAGAAAATTAATTAGAAAAATAATAGAGTTAATATTTATTTCAAAATATTAATTTAATAAAAAAACCATTAATACTTAACAAAACATGGAACAAACATGAATTTAAGAGATGTATAAGAGATAATTAAATAGAGAAAATACGTATATAAACAATTCGTAAAAATACCGTGTTCAAATATTTTACTACTCATATAATGAGAGAAATAATTATGTAAATTGATTAATTGAAATCCCTGACGAGAAATATTCATTTATTTGAAATATTTATTCATAAAATTAAACTAAATATTACAAATAGGATTTTAATTAATATGTAGATATAAGTTATTATTTTACGTTAATCATTTATAAGCCAATAGGTATAAAATAACTTACGTAAATATTTATATATATATTTTTTATTTTAAATATTATCTTCTACCGAGACTTCTCTCTATCAAGTAACTCAATAGAATTATTATAAGATTAATATATAAATAGGAATAAGGGTTATATAAAAAAGGAGCTTCTATATCGAGCGTCTGTATCGATTTGTTTCCGGTTAATTGATTGTAAAGTTGTCTTTCGACGACGTAGACTTTCTTGTCGACGTAAGTCTTTCTTGTCACCGTCCATGTGTCGTATCGCGGTTTCATTGAATCTCGAGATTTTCAGGACGAGCGTCCGTAAAAGGCCAATATGTTCGCGCCACGAATCCTGGACCTGGACGCGACGACCGCGTCGCGATCGTTGAAAAGACGTTCCTCTACTACTTCGTAGATGTATAACGTATACTCCCGGCACCATTACGGGGTAGGCGCTTTATTGTCGTTGCGGGAATAACACAACGATCCGCCTTATCCCGCGGAGAGTGTTTCCCAGTCCCTTCACTCCGTTATCTCGGTGGACTTATCCATAGGTTCGTTAACCGCGCAAAATCGCACCATTTCCGTGATCACGGACCCGTCGTTTCGCCTTATCTCTCGTTCGCTTTCGATCCGATGGAAGAGTCTCGCTTCTAGAAAACCGCCATAGCCGGCACAAAAGAATGGAGGAACAACGTGCGCAACGAGATGAGAATACACACAGAAATTGGTCGCTTAATTTCGTGCAGATACCACGGATTTTTATAGCTTTGCTTGCATTGCAGAATTTTTGAGCGCGAATGTTTAATTAATTTTTTATTATTTTGCTGAGAGTCAAAATGATAAATTAAAATAGAATGTTAAGCTATTTCGTAAAACGCGTCTTAAAAATCAATTTTGAGAAAGATAGAATTTCTTGTACTTTATTACATTTATATTTAAATATTATTTTTTCCTAGAAACAGTAAAAAAATTATATTTAAATATAAATATAATTTTTATATATCATTTAATATATTATTTTAGAATCAACCTTTTCAAGTATTTAAATTCTGCCAAGTTGGAAAAAATGTGAAAATTCAGAAATAGAGTTGCATAAATGATATATATGAAATATCTTTATATTTGAAATTCTTTGTTTCTCTTGTCGCCCCTGTTAAAAATATTTCAAGAACATTTGAGATATAATGCCTCATTCAGCAGCAACTTGATTAAGCATAGCTTTATCCGGCTTTATCAGTCCATCGAGAGCAAGAACTTTTCCTCTATCATGGGAATGCTACACGTTCTCGTACACGTTCTTCGTGATTCACCAGAATGTCGCATGCTGTGATCAGACGAAAGGATCTCCCGTCAGATATCACCATGTAGGTTCCAACTAATCCGGTCATCTGAACCGGCGGGTCGATGAGTCATGACACTTAGTTCTTTATCCGATGGCTTCATCTATTGAATTGCTCCCCACGAACGAATCGATCGCGACCGAAGGTCCTCGTGTATATAATTTCTCTGGTATTAGAATCGCGAAATGTCGACGGAATCGCGTCGTCGACCTCGTTGTTGACGGCACGAACAGGAAGGAACGCTATTTTTCACTTTTAAGGTGTTTCATCTTAAGAGATTGCCGTCGGAAGACGCGAAGACCGCGACAGTGAAAAATGGAACGGAGCGAGGACATTGGAGGGAAAAAAGAGATCGCAAAGTAACACGGAAGGCGGAAGCAACCTCGAGCGATAGCACCCTCGATTAGGTTCTCGATTCGCGTGATGGCGAATCGGAGAACATTACACGTTTATTTCTCCCCCGTCCACGCCGTTCTTCGGTCTTCCTCTGTTCTCGATTCGTCGCCTGCAGCGAGATACGAGTTATTGGTCGTTCTGGGCAAGGATATAGACTGAAACGAAGTTTCTCATGGCGTGGGGTGGCGTGGGACGCCGAATCGGGAATGATTTGTGAATCATCCACTTGTTAGGCGAAAGTTGCTCGCTACTTTTTCCCTCCGACTCACGAATCGATGTGGGGGAGCGGGAGGGAGGCTTGTGAAAAACGTGGAAGGGTGTCGCAGTCTCGCATTCTTCTCTTTCTCTCTCTCCGTTCGCTTTCAAACCCCTTTGAAACTTCTCTCCTTTTCCCTCGAACCCGCTCTTTCTCTTTTTTTTCCATGCATTCCATGTTATTCTCTCCCGCGTTCTTACTTCGCTTATACGTTTTCCTCCTTTTCCATTTCTGCGTACCATGTTTTCTTTCGTGTCGTGTTTTTCCTCTATCCTTTTTTCCTCCGTTTTCTCTCTGCCACCTATTTTTCCTTCGCTTTACCTCCTTTCCACTCACACCCTCGTCCCATCTCGCTTCGAGATCGGGTTGGGGTGGATATAGGGTCGATCTGCGTCCTCCCCAGGGCGACAATTACTTGTAATACCGTCGGTCTCTCGGGGCCGATGGGAACTCGACGGGGTGTATTTTCTCCGTAAGGAAAAAAAGATATTACTGTAACCCACACATCGAGTCCGGTGCCGCCTCCCTTACGGAAACAGTCACGATCTGTCGTTCTTGTCTTATCGTGGCTGACATGTTTGATGAACTGTCAGGGGCTGCTGTTCAATTAGATGTGTGTATGTCCTGTGAATGGTGTATTTATGTAATTGGACCGCAGTAATTGTACGCGTACTTTGAATTTGATAAAGAAATCATCGCAAAAGTTATTGCATTTTCTCAAACAAATCATCATTGATGATTTCTCGTGTATGGTAAACTTTTTTTAAATTTACTTGATAATTTAACTAAATGAAAAAAAGCTTTACTTGAAACTTATCAAAAAATGATATAGACTTTTCTTGTCGCTATTATTGTTTTCAAAGGTCTTTAGTTTCGATCTTTCGCTCAAACATTTTCTCACAAAGAATAGATTCACAAACGTATCCCTTAACCGCCGACAATGAATTGGCGATGCGCTCAGCCGGCATTCGCTTCGTCGAACGATCCGCATCCGCTAATTCCATCGAATTCCGGCCACTTCCGTTAATTAATGAGATCGAAGCCGCGGCTCATTCATCACCGGCGATCGCGCACCGGTCCGAATCGGACCGCCTCGATATACGGTGTAAACGACGCGCTCCTCGCGACGATGACGGCAATTTCGAATTAATTGCAAATTCACTGAGATCACGCTGGGTGACGCGAAGGTGATTAATGTCCCCGCGGTAATCCGGGGACCGGCCTCCCGCCCCTCCTCCCCCCCCTCCACGATCCGTCCGTCTCGTCCCGTTCTTCCGGCCATCGCGGCGCTTACGTATGGTAAGTGCTGTGGGATAACAGCCTCGTGTTTCGGATAACAGGGAA